GGCTCATAATAGCGAGAGATCTAGTGATGCTAGATAGAGAAGGGAGGTTGAAAGCCACACAACACGGCTTCCGCAAAAACAGGTCCTGCCAGACAAACCTTGTGGAATTCTATGACAAGGTTTCGAGATGGCTAGATGGAGGGGATGCAGTGGATGTGGTATACCTGGATTTCAGCAAGGCCTTTGACAAAGTGCCCCATGATATCCTGGTGGAGAAACTGAGGAATTTTGGGATAGACCAATGCACTGTCTGATGGATGAGGGCATGGTTGACTGACCAAAAGCAGAGGGTAACCATTAGTGCGGAATCATCGGGATGGCGGCCAGTGACAAGCAGGGTCCCCCAGGGCTCTGTCCTGGGGCCGATCCTGTTTAATCTTTTCATAAATGACATGGAAGAAGGGGTGAACAGTCTGCTGATCAAATTCACAGACAACACTAAAACTGGAGCAGTGGCCACAACTGAGGAGCAGGTACTCCAGATCCAAAAGGATCTGGACAGACTATTGAAGTGGGCAGGAGACAACAGGATGGCGTTCAATGTGGGTAAGTGCAAGGTCTTGCACTTGGGGCATAGGAATAGGTGTCATAAGTACAGGTTAGGTGACAAGTGGCTGGAGAGCAGCACTTGTGAAAGGGACCTTGGGGTACTGGTTGACTGCAGGCTAAACATGAGTCAGCAGTGTGATGCGTTGGTCAAGAGGGCAAACGCCACCCTTGGTTGCATAGCCAGAAGTGTGGCTTCTAGATTGAGAGAGGTATTACTACCACTCTACACGACTCTGGTGCATCCGCAACTGGAGCATTGTGCTCAGTTTTGGGCCCCTCATTACAGAAAGGATATAGCCAGGTTAGAGTCAGTGCAGAATAGGGCCACAAGGTTGGTGGCTGGTTTGCAGGGGATGGGGTACGAGGCCAGACTGAGGGAACTGGGTCTCTTCAACCTGGAGGAGACTCAGAGGGGATATGTTGGCGACATACACATATGTGAGGGGATGTCACATGGAGATGGGTAGAGACCTGTTCTCCCCTGCAGAGGAAGACAGAACGCATTCCAACGGAGCAAAGCTCAGGGAACCAAGGTTCAGTTTAGATGCCAGGAAGCACTTCCTGACAGTTAGGACCCCAAGGGTGTGGAATGGGCTTCCATGAGTGGTCACTGAGGCCCCATCGATGAGGGTGTTCATGCCCATGGTGAGCATGTCGTGAGCGGAGTCAGCTGGAGCCAGGGGTCAGACTAGATGGCCCGGGAGACCCCTTCTGACTCACTCTGTTTCTATGTTTCTCCTCACCCGCTAAGCTTGCTTTGCCAAGTGGACAGGAAGAGGTCAGTATGGTGTTGGTACCCAGCCCTCATCCCTCCAGTGGACTGAAGGATACCTTCATCTTAGGTGGCCAGGCAAGGAAACCAGGTGGATTAGGTTGTGATAGTGGCTGAGAATCAAGTAATTTAAGTGAAAATACTCAGCCCAAATGCAGACATTTATCATGGGTGCCTTGCCTAGTTTCACAAGTTGGCCACATCAGTAGTTGGATATATTGAATGCTTAAATGAGGATTATTTATGAGAACACTGAATTTATCTTTTATTGTTTGCCTGACCCTATTTTTCTTCCCTACCCTTAATAAAATCCGTTCACTTATTGTAACTGGACAGGAAAAGCTATTCGATTATTGAATGCAGCACTGAAGAAAGCTGGTCCACTGCCGGTACTGGGGTGGCCGTCCTTTGAAAATAGTGTTCCTGTGCACCTCAAAGTGCTTTGGGTGCAGGACAGGCACAGCAGCAACTGCCCAGAGAGTGCAGAACCAGCAGGGCTGATAAAAGCCCTGAGGGAAGCCGAGCCAGAATCCTGGCACCCAAAGGATAGCCCACTCATTGCAGCTTTTTGAAGCCGAGGTAGCAGAGGCATTCATCGCACCTGTGCATGCCAGGCCACGTAAGAAGCGGAGTGTGCGTGAGCCTGACCTTTGCTGATCTGTTCTCCCCCGACCCTCTTTTCAGGGAGATTCCGGTGGGCCCCTGGTGTGCGAGGAGCAAGGCAGGGCCACCCTCCGCGGCATTGTCAGCTGGGGCTTGGGGTGTGCACAGATGAACAAGCCTGGGGTCTACACCAATGTTACTCACTACCTTGACTGGATCCAAAGTAAGGTTCATTAGCAATCCTGTGAGTACAATTCCTCTACAATAAAACCCCAAGATGTCCGTCCGTCCGTCTGTCTCATTTTGTACAGCTGTTACTGATCCTCCCTTTTTGCATGTATGTCTAGACTAGACACTGAGTACGAAGAGTAAAACAACAAAACCAAACCTGTGCTGTGTGTGTTGTCCACCATAAAACAGCCAACAATTTAAGTCATGATGCCACCTGTTGAAACTGCCTTTTGTGAGACAATGGAAGCTCTGCCCTAGTGCTACCCGATTTTAACTGGTTGCCCCATGTCCTCACTAGAGGGGTCACCCACTGTTGCACCGGAAAGCCAGCCAGATCCCTGCCTTGCACTTTCTCGGACATCACGCATTACTTCTCCATGCACAAGCACATTCCCCCCACCCTTCATTCCATACATCCTGCATTATTTTACTCCAGACAACTTCCTGTGTCATTCTTGAGGGGTACAGAGAGCCTGAACAGATATCCTTTCGAATGCACAAACTCGTGGAAGCTGTGGGCCTGGGTGGCCTCTGAAAGCGCAGGAGTGGTTCTTGGCATTTAGCACAGGAGTGCCAAGGTGAATATGCCTAATCTGGCCACATTTGTATTTTAGGCATATTCCTTCAAGAGGAGCAGATGAAAAGAGATGTTCTGGAGGAGGGGGAAAATACATGCATCTTTCCAACAAAGAGGTGCTTTATTAATTTTTTACAGCACTGAACAGCAGAGGGCAGACCATATCCACACTATCTCCAGTAACAGACTCCAAGCATGGGGGTAGATTGATACTGGCTGAGATGAGAAGTACTGAAGCCAGGGTTCCTCCGGCTGAGGCTTTTATTGTGCAGTTGCTCTGTTGTTTTGATGAAATTTTGTGGAGTGGTGGTGCACATCCAGCAGTCACTGTCATCCACTGCACTGATAATCCTGCCGAGTTTCCCCAGCACCACTTCCATTACATGACAAGAAACCACGTCCTAAGAGGACCAGTTAAAAGAACTAAGTATGTTTAGCCTGGCAAAGATTAAGGGGAGACAAGCTAGCCAGCTTCAAGTAACTGGATGCCTGTCATACTGAAGATGAAGTAAACTGGTTTTCTAATGCTTCAGAGAGCAGGTCAGCTAGAATCAATGGGTGGGAAAGAATACCAAGGATGTAGAACTCAGCTGAACCCTAGGAGAAATGACTTACTGGTATGAGCAGAACATCTGTGGAACCAGGCTGCCTTGGGCTCTCCTTTACTGGTAGTATTTAAGCAGAAATTGGACACCCATCTCAGGGATGTTGTAGTTGGAAGTTTCCTGCATGCAGCAAGGGGTTGAACTAGATGGCCTTCAAGGTCCCTTCCAACTCTAACCTTTTATGATTCTATATCACCCCCCCTCCCCACCAATCTAATTTGATGCCCTTCAGATCTAGTCCAACTCCTATCACCTCCAGCCAATATGCGGAGTTGCCAGGCTGGGGAGACTATTCTGTTTTTAAAAATATACATTATTGGTGGAGTTAACAGGGGTATCCCCAGCCTAGTAAGGTTCAAGTTTCATGTAACCTAACACATGAGTGGCTGGGTTCAGACAACACAATAACCCAAATTCAAGGGTTGAGTGCAGATGGTCACTGAACCATGGGTTGTTGTTGAACTGTGTGTTACTCTTGTCTGAATCTAGCCAGTGACAGAAACAAGACAAGAAGCTTGGAAATGTATGTGCATGGTCCAGAAGGAACAGAGAATATTAGAGAATTAACACCCTCAGAAGGATGCACAAACTATGACAATATTATCTGCAAATGAAGATGTAAAGATACAGTTTACATCTACCATTCATATTTCTACTCTGACAAAGGATATGCTTGCTATACATTATGTGGCAAAGAGTACATCTGTCAACCAAGTACATGTCTCAGGTGCGTGGCTTTCTGCTTAAAGAGCTAACCATCCTATCCAAGGAGCTGTGTATTACATATAGCCTTGCCAGGAATCCCATGTTTTGTGATACTCTGTGAGCAAATCAAATTTGACCAAAGTGTTTTCCATATTCCTGTGACACAAAAGTTATGTCTCTGAAATGCAGGTAAGGGGACATGGCCTCTGGGCTGACCTCCAGAGGGCTGGATTGGGACACCAGCGTGGAAGTTCTACACTTCTGCTCTAGTTCTTACATTCAGTTAACTATTTTCAGTTGTGCCAAACCCCGGGCATAATTATGATGGCAGAATTATATTAATCCCAGTCTTTATTTATTATTTATTTATTTGGAACACTTGTATGCTGCCCCATTCGCAAAAGCCTTGGTGCCTGCATGGTGCTCAAATTTGCCAAAAGACAAAGCTCTGGCATCCAGCTCAGAACTTCTCTTGGCTTGTATCTGTCAGCCTGAGCATTTTTAAAAGAAAACCAGTCCCTCTGCCATGGCATTTTTGTGTTGCAAAGGGCCAAGGCATGTGATCTAAAGGATCATAAATTTTCTAGAAAAGATGTAGCTGTACTACTTCCATATGCCAAGACTTGTTGGACTTTGGAATCCAAAATCAGACCAACAACAGAAAAATGGAAATACCACTGGGGTCTCTCCTGCTGAAGCTTTCTGCTGCCTCTAACTAGGCCTGACCAATATGATTACTTGAAGCTCATGGTTTGTCAGCTGCACAGGCCTCCAGGTTATTCCAAGCTCAATTCAAAGTGTCAGAGTTGACTTTTAAAAGCCAAATCTCCCTTTCTAAAGTACATATTTCTTCTTCACAGTAGTCCTACGATAATTCCTAGGCGCAACCTGAAACCTTCAACACACCTAGTACAGCCTAATCTAATTAAGGGCAAAATCCTATGCATGATTAGACAAAAGGGGGAAGAAAGGAAGAAGAAAAAGAGGACTTTCTACCTAGCTGGCTGGAGAATGCCAAGAACTGTCGGACATTTTCTCCATCTAAACCCAGGTTCGCAGCTTAAGTCTGAAATCTCTTCCCATATTGTATCTGAAGATTATGACTTAAAATTCCAAGGTTTCAACAACATGCTTGCTGTCCCCCCACCCCTGCCAGCCAGTTCTAATGAACTCTGGAAAATTGAAAAGTTTGCTCACTGTTTTGTGGCCTTTTCATTATTTCTAGTAAGTACATTGTCTGATCGTGTGGAGAATTGTCCTGGTTTCAGTTGTTGAAATCGCCTTGCCTTGCAACTGAAATACAAGGACATATTGCCTCTGGTGCTGGAGGTAATACAAAGCCATCAGGACTAATAGCATTAAGAGCCTTGTGTTCCCATGAATTTGTCAAACCTACTTTTGAAGCTGTCACTTTGTCTTGGGTTAGTAAATGCCATAGTTTAGCTTTCCACAGCATAATGAAGAGCATCCTTCTATCTGCTCTGGGTATCTCATGAATCTGCTTCTCTTGAGCCAGGGTTCTTGTAATGAAAAAGGGCAAAACTCTCTCCCTACCCACTTTCACAGCATATATAAATCTGTAATTCATGCCCCCCATTACCTGCCTTTTCTTCTAAGCTCCAAATGCTGAAAAATATGCATTCTTCAGGAAGAAATCTGTGCTCAAGCCACAGGACAAGCCACTAGGTCAGTGATGGTGAACCTTTTAGAGAACGAGTGCCCAAACTGCAACCCAAAACCCACTTATTTATCACAAAGTGCCAACACTGCAATAAAACCTGAATAATGAAGTTTTAGTTTAGAAAAAACAACTCACAGCCAGTCCAAGCAAATATATATATATATATCCTTGGCAGCACACTGACCGGCCATGCAAAAGCTTGGATGCATCATGATTAATGAGTTGTGGCTGGTGACATCATCACCTGGTGCTGCTACTTCTTTCTGAGCATGCGCATGGCCCCTATGTGTGCTGTTATCTGATGCTCAGCTGCTAGGGTGATGCTGGGGTGACTTGGCTCGCGTGCCAACAGAGAGGGCTCTGCATATCTGTTGTGGCGCACGCGCCATAGGTTCGCCACCACTGCACTAGGTACACACGGTAGGTTGCCATGTCACAAGAACCCCATCATTCAGTGATGCTCTCTGTGAGGCTGCCCATTGCACATGACTGGCTTGAAAGCAGAGTGCACCATGCATGTTTGGCTTACTTAGTCCTGTATGTTCTAGGAGTGGTCTGTGATCCATGGTTTCAAGTTACTTTAATGATCGATATACCATGCTTCCCATCTATACAGATGAAGGTGGTCCAAAGTCTTTTTTCAGAGACACTGAGAGGACAAACATTGACCATACCTCCTCTGACCATCCACCTGGGCTTCTGGTGCCAATATTATCCTGTGGCCAAAGATTTCCAGGGTGAAGTGTGGAAAAGCTAGAAAGGAATGTCAGTGATACTGATGAACAGGGCTAAGAGCAAGGAAAGCATGAGACAATTTATGAGAGGTACATAAGAAACTCCATACCACGTCAAACTACTGGTCCATTTAGTTCAATACTGTCTACATGAGACATGGGGAACTGCAGGCCTGGGGGCCAGATTTGGCCCACTTGGGGTCCAAGACAGCCCTCCCATGTCCCTTTCCCCAAGCCATACCATTGCAAAATGGAGTTCCAGCTTTTGTGTATATCCTCCTCATCCCTGATATTAAGCCTAGACCAGTGGCTATTGGATCCAACAATACCTGGAGGTATTGGCACAGGTTCTCCACCCCCTGCAGTGCAAATGCCTGTGCAGAATCTGGGACCACCTCCTGCAAAGACATGGTCTAGCTCTGAACTCTGTCCCCTCTCGCAGGAGCTGGAAGTAGCCAGAAAGAGGCATCAGTTTCCCTAAGTACAGGCATCTGTCTGTAGCCTCTAGGAAAGTAGACTTCCAAAGCCATACAAAACCCTGTAGAACCTGTTTACCAGGGGTGACAAATCACAGCAGTGATTCTCTGGCACCACCATCATCTTTAGGGTGGTGTGATGGCAAAACAGGATGACTGTCTGCCTCCCACTTTGCATAGGGCACCTCAGCACGAATGCGTGAGAGCACTTTTGGTAGCCGAGTATTACACAGGGCAGGAAATGTTACGAAGGGCTGCTGGCTGCATCTTGTATTTGGTATCACAGGGAGACCAACCGCCCCAGCCTGAGCCTGGGCCTGGGCCTGTGCCAGACCACAGCTATGATGGATGTAGAGCTGAACCTCCTAGAGAAGTCCCACAGTTCCAGCCCCAACTCCTTATCTTACAGCATCACTGGGCTTGGAAGCTAAAAGGAGTGCAGGAGCTTGGAGTTAGGCCCTGTGGGCTGTGGAATCCAGCTCCCATGGCGCCAACAGCTGTTTTTAGCAAGGTGAAGGGTCAATGTTTCAAGTTTGTCTATTTTGAGCCACAAAGCTGGGGAAATTAGTCAGCCTCTGGCCTCTGCATGTCTGAGCCAGGAAGCTGGGCCAGCCTAGTTTTCTCAGATCCAAGCACTGTCCCAGCCAAGCTCCTGAGGAGGCCCACCCCCAGCTCCTCGCAGCCTGTTTTCTCCATCTCCCAATTTGCACATGGTCTTCAGGACCTAGATGGCAAATTTGGTGTGAGCAGCTTCCAGCTCCTTGCAGCCCCTATGGCAAGCACCAGCCCCTCCCTTGGTCCTTAGTTGCATCTTGCTGGCCCTGTGCAATGGAGGCAGCGCTTGCCTTGCAAAGAGGCGAGCAGCAGGTTCCTGGGACCAGGGCTGGCTCTAGGCCCAACCTGCAGGCCTAGCATGCTCCTCTCATCCACCTCATTTAATGTGGAGGTGTCCCCGCTCTTTTAGCCTATGGGCTCAATTCCAATGCAAATTAGCTCTGGGGAAGAGGTGGATTCCAGCAGTGGGCAGGGCTGAAAGGAAGAAGGGCAAGGGCAAATTAGCAAAACAAATTATTGCACAGGTCTTAGAAGAGGCATTTCAGTCATCTAGAACTGAAAGGCAGGGGAACTTCACAAAAGCTAGGAAATCACCAAACAATCCGTGGTTGGAGGAAACGGGATTGGTGCAATGGTTGCCTGAGAGAGCTGGATCGGAACCTGAGGCAGGCAAATTTGGCCCAGAGGCCTAAGGTTCAACTCCCCTGATTTAATGCAAACTTTAGTAAAACTGGGGACAGTTACAACTGCCCAGTGATTGCAAAAAAGGGAGCAGTTCAGAGTAGTGGGGGGTGGGCAGAGAGGGAAGGATTCATTAGTAGAACCAGGGCTTTGCTGCACAAAGCATTTCTAGTGCACTTCTATTCTTCCCAGTGTTGGCTTGCCTGTGCTTTACACAACATCCTCCTCCTCCAGGGCTCTGCTCATGCTTTGCCACCATTTTCACTGTGTCTTTGTAGATTGAGAGGTCCAGTTATCTGTAAATCGTGCTATGAAATTCTGGTGTACTTTCACAATTATGCCTCCTTGTGGTTGTGCAATGGAACATACAGAAAGGCAGAGAAAAGAAAAACGGTGTGTGTGGGGGGGGGCGGAATATAAAGCCTTCAAGCTTAATTTGCTGAAGACTGTAGAAGCAGCATCCTTGGTAAAGCAAGCAGTGAATTAAAAGCCTCATGTAGAGAAGCTCCATCTTGCCGCATCTATAGTACTTTTATTCCTCCGGCACTTGATTTAACCCTTTGCACACTGCAGCCGGATCTACAGCCTAGGAAGACAGCACATAGCACATGCGCTGAGGTTTCCTTTCTGCAGCCTTGGGCCAGCTGGCAAACGGAGAGTGTCTCTTTCCCAAACTGACACCTCTACAGGGAAACTGCAGAGAGTACGGAGGGGGGTGAAAATAACAGGAGGGTCAAGGGTAGCCAAGAAACATCCTGAGAACATATTGCTCTTCCTACCTCCTTGCACAATCCTCAACTATACAGCTCCCTTGGGGCCCATCCCTCCATTCAGACATCAAAGCCCATTTTTATCCCTATTGTCTATCCATGCCAGCTGGCTGCAGCTCAGAGATGTGGGGTGGGAGGAGAGTTATTGAGATAAACATTCAAATACTGCCCCAGACGACCCTCCTCTTTGCCCTAGTATACAGAGCGTTCCTTACCAATGCAAAAAAACAACAATAAAAAACGGGGGGAGGGTTCGACAACAAGCAGATCTTCACTGAACCCTCGTCACTATGGAGGGGCACAGGAAAACCACAGAGGAGAGCGGTCTTCTCTCTCAGCCCAGGCTCTTAAGTGGCAGAACTTCTCACATCAGGAGAAACAGCAGGAAAACATTTGTTTTGAAGAAAGAAAAACAACCCATTACTGCAAGCCCAGCAGGGTTGGCCTGAGACATTTGGCTGCCTGAAGCGAAAGATACAATGGCGCTGAAGCTGCCTGGGCTGGCGGCGTAATCTGACTGCAGTACTGACTACAGGATATCATCCTCTGACATGTCTGAGGGCGGGAGGGTGGTTGTGGGGGAGGATGGACAAGCTGCATGGCACAGAAAGCCCCATCCTCAAATGGATGGAAGCAGCGAAGGGGCTCGGGGGAACAGCTGGGGAAGTGCCACTTCTGCCGCCATCCAGCATCTGCTTCCTGAAGGGGAGGCTTCATCCAGCTAATGACACAGCCAGCCCTGAAACTCGGTGCCATTGAACAAGGAGGTCCTGGGGCCAATAACGCCAGTGAAAGTGCGACATCAAGTGTGCCTCTCATAGGTGCAGTCAAACTGGTGAGCACAGGTGGTGTGGGCGTGGAACGCTCCCTGCTCCATCATCTCCTGGGGAAATATGGCCAAAGCCATCCTTCAGACAGCATGTGGCAAGCTCTGCCTTTGTGACATGTGAGCACAGGGGTGGGCACAGATGCAAAAGAGGGCCGGGTTCCTGCAGCTTTGAGACTGTGTCCTCTGTAAACAGGAGGGCACTTCAGCAGATGCAGTCCTGCAAGATAAGCGGTGTTCGCTAATATGACATGTTAAAGTGTGGGAACCCATTCTCTTTTGCACCTGAGCACCTCAATGGCATGTAAGAGGCTCCACATGTTATCTTCTTCCCTTCCCCAAGCCCATCCAGCTCTCACAAATATACACGTTGTCATTTTACAGCACAAACATCAAGGTCCCCTTATAGCACAAACATTGCTCCCTACAGCTCTGCCAAGGGCCACACAAACATTTCCTCCTTGCAGAGTTGCTGGGATACAACCTGAAGGTTTGCTTTGCCCCATTTAAAACTGCCGATTGGGCAAGAGATGCAACACACGGTCCGTCTAGTCTCCTCACACACATCAGCCGCCTGCTGTGCAGAGCACCCGGAATGCTGCTTGCTGTATAGGTGGGAGAGGACAATTAGACAGATGGCAAATGAATCCTCAGGGGAAGGTACGTCTGATGCATTTACCACGTACTTGGTGGTTAACCTGCAATCCAAGAAATCTGTGGTACTCCAAATGTTGTTGGACTCCAGCTCCCATCATCCCAACTATTTAGCTGTGCTGCCTGGGCTGATAGGAGCTGGAGTCCAACAACAGCTCAAAAGCCACACGTTCCCCACCCCTGGTATAAAGCATCAGAGCAAATTTCTGGATGCCATCCCCACCACCATCACATCTCCTTGCCTTCTGCCCCCGCCCCCACCACCCACTGCTTATTTCTACAAGGGGGGCACCTTGCGGAGATACCCACACTATTTTGGAAAGACAATCGTGGCATTCACCAAAAGCAGTGATAGCTGCATTGATCCATGAAGGGGTGAAATCCCAAATCCACAACTGGGCAAAACCTTTAATAGGACTGAACAAAACATCACAAATGAATATGCAAATATTTAACCCTGTGAAATCAAGTGGGGAAGATCCTACATCAATACAGCACTTGGCTTGGGCACATCTCTGGGGCAGACTTGCCCGGGGTTTAGGGCTTATATAGAGGGGGATGAACCACTGACACCTTTCATGAACCTAGTCAAAGATAAGGACTAGGAGAGAGTACCAAGGTCCAGCTGGGGGAAAACCTGCCCTGTCTGGTGCAGGACATTGGGAACATGGCAGGCAATGGAGAAGCTGGGCCACTGTGCCAGAAGACAGGACTTTTATTTTCGGGCCTTGTCTACAGTTATCCAAGGCCAGAGAACCTGCTCCCTTGGTGCCTCCCTCAGCAAGGCGTGTACAGAGCTGAGAACCCTTCTGGGCTTCTAGAACTGGGGCAGATTAGCAAGGGGTTTAAGAGGGCCTTTCTCCATGGATACCTGCCCAGTTTGCATCACCCTTGGACTGCCCTGTTTACAGGGAACGGTGAGTTCCTGGTTTCTTTTGTGCAAGCATTAGCCGTTTTTGTGTCTTAGTCTTCTACAGTCATACAGTAGGCAATGCCTGAGGCATAAAAATGCTATCACCTTCTGCTGAATGGTAGGCATATTTGGCAGGGGAGAGGCATTCTTAATGGTTAATCAACTCTATTGGGAAGCGAAGGCCAAGTTTACATATTACATTATCCAGCTATAGGGTCACTCTTGTGGCAAAACACTTAATCTGTTGTTTGGGAGGGGTGCACCAGACAGGGCAGGCTGCTGTGCTGTGATACCAGCTCCAGCTTGCAGAATAACCAACTGCTACCAAGGAGAGCAACAGCTACAGTCAGGTGTTCCCAAATAGCGGGATGCAGGCATTGCCTGCCCCTTCAACCTCCAACTTGAAATGCTGCAGCAGTTAACAGGAAAGCAACATTGCTGGACAGAGATGCCAGCTGTCACCTCCTGGGGGCCTTTGAGAAGAAACAGTCAAACATCCCAGAGAGGCCGCCAACACGGTTGAACCTTTGCCTTAGTCAAAGCCGTCCACAAGGGCAGCACACCTCCTGAGTGATGGAGAAGGCCATTTTTCAATGCCCACCGCTGGTATCTGCCAGGCAGAGAGATCTGGCGTAATGCTTTCCAAATCCAGACGGCTAAGTGACTCACCGGTCAGCATCTGGTTTCCTTCTTGCGTTTCCTAGCTCCCCTCTGATCAGCAAAGAAGCAGATGAGGTGGACATATGCATGAGCACCCCCCCACACCGAATCCAAAGAGTTTCTTTGCTGAAACTAAGATAAAACAGCAGTTTTGTGTGACAGAACAGTTCACCACCACCACCACCAGCAGCAGCACCCTTGACCCTGCAGGAGGTATCCTCTCTTCCTTGTGCAAACACGGGAAGCTGGGGAAGACAGCAACACTTCTCCTTTTCTGCAAAGTCACAACTGTGTGGTGGGACGGGCTCCCTGGAACCTTGCGGGCTCCTTGCCCGAAGTACTTCTTCAGCTACAGAACACAGGGCCCTCAGGACATCCATGAGGTTGCCTAGCCCTTCTTTATTACTGCTTTCTTAGGGGAGGGTGTGGACAAACATGCAGCTTCTCAGGTGACCAGGAAAAAAACATTCAAAGGCTGGATGCCTGTGGCTACTACTAGAGACCTGACCAAACAAGCAGGTACAGTTCTGTCTCCATTGTGTCCTGTTTGTGAGCTTCCCAGCGCCATCTGGCTGGCCCTGGTTGCAGACAGAGCATTGCTGCTGAACCAGTAGATGGATCTTCAGCTGGATCCACAAAGGCAGTTATTAAGTTCTTAGAGTTTCCACAATTCCTTCAGATGCCAGTCAGGCAGAATCAACTGAAGTCTTCAGTCCCTAAACAGGAACAAGTCATCCCACTGAATTCCCTCTAATATAGGTCCCCTACATCTCACAACCTCACTGAATTCCCCTTCCCACAGGGCAGCAGTGACAAGGGAATGGTGCGGGTAGACAGTGATGACCTTTGTGCCTGTTCAGGGTAAACCTAGTTGGATTGCTAGGTCAAGTTAGCAGAGACAGAGCACATGCCTCACAGCAAGGGCCAAACATTTTGCAAGTCTGTCATGCAAGTCACAAGCAGGGAATACAGCAGCTGTGGCACATATCAGCCTTCCACAACCTGGTGCCTCCAGAAGGGTGGGACTGTAATTCCCAGCATTCCTGTCCATGGGCCATGCTGGCTGGGGTCAATGGGAATTGAAGGCAAAACATCTGCAGGGCACCAGGTTGGGAAAGCTGGTATACACTGAAGTACACAGACAGCCCCTCCATTCCTTCCCAGTGTTTAGTCCCCGTGAGCACACAGCTGCCTAGTTCTGGAGAGGCAAGCAGGAGTGTAAGCCTGACTGCAGCCTCACCAGGCCAACAAGCCCTCCAGGTCCTGTCCAGGTGCAGCACAAAAGCCGTGCTGGCTGTTGGCATTTATGCCACAGACAGGCCACCTACACTTCACTGCAAGTTCATCAGTAGAACAGATGGCAAAACTATCCCGTTCCCTGGGCTCCTCCAGTTCCCTTCCCTGTGTCTTGCACCCAGGCCCCAAACAGCACCTGTGCACCACTGCGTTTCTCTCAGGCACCACCAGCTCTCTGGGCCAGAGCCTCATTTTCGACAGGGCAGAGGGTAGGCCCGGGACAGAAGGCGCTGGAAGGCCCGGCGGAAGTCCCGGTTGAAGACAGTGTAGATGATGGGGTTGAAGCTGCTGTTGCAGTAGCCAATCCAGAAGAAGAACTTGAAGAGGGGCTTGGAGATGCAGCATCCGTCCCCAAGCACGGATTCGAGGCTGTACGTGAAGAAGAATGGGAACCAGCAGAGCACAAACGCTCCAATGATGAACGCGAGGACGAACGTGAACCTGCGCTCCCGGGCCTGCACTAGCCTGTTGGTGGACAGAGACAGGTCCCTGCTCCTGCGTTTCTGCCGGTTGGCGGGGATTGACCAGGACAGCCTTGGGGCCCTTTGAAGCCGGGCACCACTATTGCCAACCTCTTCCACCCGCCACTGCCGAGGGAGCCGGGGCAAGCTGGGCTGCGGTTGCGGAAGCTGGCCATGCTCCAAGACCACATCCTGCATTTCACTTGGAGGCTGCTGGGTACTGTGGGTGTCCCATTTGACTGCTGTGATGAGGCTGGGATAGGACACCCGCCTTGCGGCAATGACAATCGAGGTCCTGCGCTTGGCCACGTGGTAGATCCGGCAGTAGACGGCAACCATGATGACACAGGGGGCATAGAAGGAGGCGGTGCAGGAGGCCAGCACGTACCAAGTGTCATCATGCAAGAGGCACACCTGATCCTGGTGTGTGGACTTGAAAAGGGGCGGCAGGGAGACAAAGGCAGCGATGGCCCAGACGGCCCCAATCATCCATTTGATCCTCCGCGGACTCCTCTTGAGGTTGTACCGGGCAGCCCGGGTGACAGCCCAGTAGCGATCCAGGCTGATGGCGCAGAGGTGCATGATGGAGGCAGTGCAGAAGAGCACATCCAGCGAAAGGTAGAGGCTGCACCAGAGGCCCCCAAAGCACCAGTAGCCCATGATCTCATTGGCCAAGGAGAAGGGGATGATGAGGGTGGCTACCAAGATGTCCGCAGCAGCCAGAGACACCAGGAAGAGGTTCTGTGGGGCTCGAAGGGCCCTGCTGGTGTATACAGCCAGCACCACCAGTATGTTCCCCAGCAGTGTCACGAGGGCCACAGCCAACACTGCGAGCAGGATGAGTGCTGTGGCAAGCGGTGAGTAAGGCAGGCTAGTAGGCACCTGCTCACTCTGATTGCTGGATCCATTGTGCTGCGGCTCCATCCCATTCATCCCCAAGCCAGGCCATGGGGGTGCCAGGAACTGCCTGTGTGCGACTCACAGGCTCCCAGTTTTCGCTCCGGCCTCTGACACTGGAGGGCCAGTCATACATATCCAGAAAGGGACGGCGCTGCCGGTTGCCTGGTCTTCCTCTCAGTGGGGGTCATCTTAGATCGGGGGACAAGTGGAATGGTCGACAGGTCCTGATGGGGCACGTAAGTGCTTAAAAGTGCAGAGTCCAGAGACGCCTGATAGATCCCGAACAGCATGCTGGACCCCACAGCAACGTACTGGTTCCTTGCGCAGTTCAAGGCAGGCTCTGAAACAGCTCAGTCCAGATCTATCTAGTGTCCCTGGCAGCAGATCTGGAAGGGAGGCAGTTCCCAGAGGGCAGCCCCCACTTTTGCTGCTGCTGCCCCACGTCGGCCTGATGGAAGTGCCCCAAAAAAGGCTGGTGGGGGTGGAAACAAGACCCCTTTGCCTTTGCAGATCCTGCTTCCCATCTCTTTCCCCTGGAAGTGTGTGAAGCCCGGCAGAGCTGCTCCAACTCTGAGCCTCTGTTAGTCCGGTCTTCTCTCAGATCCCCGGTGGGGTGGGGGAAAGGGAGGGGCTGACAGCCCTGACTGGCCAGCCGGCCCACAGGCACTCAGCCAGCTCTGGCTGGTGGGAGAGGCTGTTTGCTGCCAACGTTAATGAGCCCAGGAGACAGAACTGCACTGTTTGTCCTTGCCTGGAGCACCTGGCAGTGGCAGGCAGCACACCCCAAGGAAAAGCGGGCATGAGCTTTGCCCAGTCCCTCTTGCCTTCAGTCCTATACCTTTTCTCCCAGGATTGTGATCACACTGATCTCAGCAGGACTTACTTCCAGGTAAGTATAGCAAGGAGCTGCAGCCTTTGTGCAGCCACGTAGGGGGAAGGGACCCTCATTTCCCTATCTTAGTCCCAGCAGTGGTTGACACCCATCGGTACACCTTTAAGTCTGGGGAATAAATGGTGTTTCTGTTGCTCCTTCATTGTTTTAATGCAACTCGCCAGATGCGTTGATCTACAATGCCCTGGGGAGTTGTAATTTAACAACACCTCTGGAGGTTGCCACGTTGGGGGAGGGCGAGTGGGATATTGGCTGGGGAAAGTCGCCTTACCTAACCTTCCTTCTTCGGAGGCCCACCTAGACAGCAAACTAACAAAAACGGCCATGCTGACTGGGGGCGATGGAAATCCTGTTTACTATAGCCCAAGGGCACCAAGTCTCGGGGTAGATAAAGATACACCTTGGATGTAATTTGCCACGGAAGCCCTTGGTTTTAGAGGGCTCTTCCCCCACCGCTGCTCAGATGTGTAGCTGTGGTTACTCAGTCATAAGAAACAAACACCTCTGCACTTGTTCAGGAAAACGCGATCTCACGAGTTCGCTGAAGCCTGCACGGGTTTCTTAAGGGCTCCCGGGCCAATCACTCATTCCAGTTAAGCCGAACGCGCCCAACAGCTCGCTGCCCCGTTCTTCTCGCCGGGTTTTCTGTCCTCCCCGCGCCTTCCTCGATCCATTAGTGAGGGGGAGGACCAGAAACGGCTCATTAACTCAAGGGCCGCCTTTTGCCCTCACGGCCTGGCCCAGAAACCCACCGGCGCTGGCGAGGGAGGGAGCCCCGCCCCAAAGTGCAGGGTGCTTGGATGTCGCTCCGTTCCGCGCCTTCGAGAAGCAAGCTTGCTTTCAGCTCTGCATTGCCACCTAGTGGCCAGCCCCCTCCATGACAGCCGATTTCTGTTCTTGCTTCCCCCAAATTGAGAGCCAGTGTGGTGTAGTGGTTAAGAGCATGGGACTGGGACTCAGAGGATCTGGGTTCTAGTCCCCGCTCAGCCATGGAGCCAACTGGGTGTCTTTGGGCCAGTCACAGACTCTCAGTCCAAGGGATAAGATGGCGGAGGAGATGTAAGCTGCCTTGAGCCCTTTGTAGGAAAAAGGCAGGATATGAATCACAATATAAATAAATAAAATGCTGACTGGGTCTCATCTGTGCAGACCTAGCCCAGAAGGAGGGATTGAGTTAAGCAGTGGTGGTGGCAGCACATCTACAGGCAGGAATTTCGGAAGAAGGCACGATTGGAGGAGTTGTTTGCTACAGGCCTGTCTGAGCACACTTTCTAGCAGCTTTCCCCAAGTGGCTGCCTTCCAGATGTGTTGGCCTATGGCTATAATGGGAATTGGGGTCTAATTAGGGTGCCTAGTTAGAGAAGGCAGGTTTGCAACAACCATTTCATATTCACATATGGAGACTGGATTAGCAATGCCAAAGGAGGCCTTGCAGAATTATTTATATTCCACATTAAATATTGATTTGCCCAGAAGGGTTCCAAAAGTAAGGAATAATATACCATGCTTCTTGTGAATTTGGATGCTACGTGTTGTAATGTACAGACCAACAAGCAAATGGTAAAGAGAACACAAAAGACGTACAAACAGCTACATTATTGGTTATTCTTTGGAGATGTATCTTCTGTAATATTTTAGTGTATAGGTGGGGAATTTTGGAGAGAGGTTGCATGTATTTTGCTTTTGTTTTTCTTTATTTTAGCCCTAGACCAAATGGCACCCCATTAAGACAAGAGACATCATCAACACCTGCATACTTTCTCATCTGGCTTTTGAATAACTTACTCTTCTCTTGAACTTGTAGCCCATTTTATAACCTTAACGTAATTTTCTCAATCAGGTTGCAAATATTTACCATTCAGTAAAGTTACTTTGCTGGCTAGGGTTGTGGAAGGCTATTCTAAAGCATGCTTTTTGTACTATACAGCTGCCAGCATTCAGCCTCACAACCTGTTCTGAACCTTCAGCGAAAATGTATTTATTATTATATTAAACGTATATCCTGCCTTTTTTCTTGCAAGGTGGCTTACATAGCCCTGCTCCACTCCTTACAACAACCACCCTGTGAAGTAGATTAGGCTGAAAGTCTGTGAATGGCCCAGAGCTACTCAGTGAGTTTCATATTCGAGTGGGGATTAGAACTTGGATCTCTCCAGTCTCTAGTCCAACACTCTTACCACCACACCACATTGGCTTATGTAAAAAGCAAAACACTTAGAAGCCTTTCGAGAAACAATCATTAATGATTCCTAGTATTGTCACAATCATACATTCCCCAAAGACCCTACAGGCCAGACTTCAGAGGACAAAAGAGACATTTTGATATTTATCTTAAATTAAAACATCCAGCAGAGTACCTGCCAATATGTTAGGTTCCCCTCCTTCCAAAAGAAAGCATTTTCTTAAATGTTCAAATTCTCCTTAAATAGTATAGAAATTTCTATGTTCCAAATACTGCAAAAGAAGTGGCTTGTTTTATGGACAAAAATTTTAAGTAGCCAACACTGATCACTACCTGGTGATCTAAATACTGTACATTACTCTGGCTGACATGGGATAACAATAAAAACAGCACAGTGCCGAATTTTATAAATAATAAAGCGCAAATTATTTTCAATCTGCATTTTTATTTGAACATTAACACTTTGGATTACACTACTCTGAAAGACAATACAATGAAACTTTGAATAAGACACTGGATAAACACAGTGTGACTGTAGAGGTAGCAAGAGATTACCTAGTAATTCTAACTTTTCACAATTCAATATTATATCTCCGGTGAAATGGTATCTACAAGTTCTACTCATGGACAAGAAATTATTGCACCGACCGCTGCAACATCCCCACCTTGAAAAACTTTTAAATTTAAGAAGGATGAGTCTACTGCCACTCAGCAGGGAAGCAAAGTCTCTGCAGGAGTTGTTCGACTCAGTCAGAGCTAGCAGAGCCAATGGTCTGGGTGATGGTAGTTGTAGTTCGGCAACATCGGGGGGGGGGGCACAGGATCTCTACCCCTGGCCTTACTCTCAGGATAGCAGTGTAGAGAATGCCCTCCAAGTAGCATTGACTAGTCATGTTGCGGCATAACTAACACTGCTGCTCCTTGAGTAATCACCAGGACTGCCCCAGGATAGCCACTTCTACCATCATGCAGGACCTCTAGAACTCAGGCCAATGCCAAGTGCGACTCAGGGCAAAACATCCACTGCACCTGCCAGAACAGCACCCCCACAACGACACCCTCTGAAAGACAAGCTTGTGCTTGTTTGTGGCACAAAATAGCACATCGCATACACATGGAAACACAGGTATACCTCATTTTATTGCACCTCATTTTATTCCATCTCGCAGTTACTGCGCTTCCTGGACGTAACCCTGTGTCGACCACAAATGTCTATCGGTGCCATTTGTCCAACAGGGGCTGCTCATTTCATGTCTCTGGCTCACATTTTGCTAAAGTAAGCCTCACAATTCTGTACTGTGCTTCAAACTTTTTCATTATTGTACCATATATATGTTATGGTTATCTGTGATCTTTGCAATAGTTTTGGGGTGTTTGGACTGCTTCACCAACTGTCCCTCCCTGTCTTTCCCTCTCCTAGGGCCCCCCTGGTCCCTGAAACATAACAATTCATGTGCAGATTAGGCAATTACTGCAATAACCCTACAGGGGCCCCAAAGGTTCAAGTGAGGGGAAGCTAGAAATGATTAAGCATAGTGAGGAAGGCATGTCAATACCGAGATAGGCCAGACAGACAGCCAACAGTATAGCTATTACAATATGTGACCCGAGTTATTGCTATATTTGACTTATTCCTGTGATCTGGAGCCAAACCCACAATATCTCCAAGGTATGCCTGTATATCAGCCTTTTCCAGCCTGCTGCTCTCCAAATTGATCACCAATGCCCATCATCCATAGGTGTCTGGGCATGATGGGAGTTGCCATCCAACCCTTTGGGAGGGTGTCAGGTTGTGGAATGCTGGTATACACACGCACTGTTAAAGACGTGTGCATCCCATGCATAACGGCAGAACGTGACTGGAACACAGAATTGCACACATGGGAGGGATAAAGTTGCAGCCATTCATGCCTCCACTCAGCACTCAGATGCAGGCAGGCAGGTGCACCTCCTTGCCCTCAAAAGCCAGCCCCCTCGTTGAGTTTCTGCTGAGCATCACTAGCTGTGGGACCAAAGGGAGCAGTGCTCCAGCACGAACTACAGGCGGGTGGCGCTCTGCATGGGCAGTGGATGCAGCCGCGGGGAGGGCTTTGTGGGCAGGGCCAATTCTTCCAAGAAGCTGCATGGAGGATTGTGCAGGCCTGCCTGGGCTTTCCTCTGAGGAGACCGACTGGTGTGTTCCTCTTGGCTCCCCGAGCAGTGGTCAGCACAGCACAGTGTCGCCCTGCTGATCAGCCCGTCCATGGGCTGCAAGGAGTGCAGCCAGTACGGCAGGAAGTCCCAGCTCTGGAGCCACTTGGGCAGTCGGCTGGGGTTTCGCGACTGCATGATGTTGACTAGGGTCACACAAGCCAGAAGGCCGAGGAAAGGGGCTCCCACGCCCACCAGGACCCGCCATCCTGCCATGGAGAGTCCAAAAACCAGCGATGGCAGCAGCAGGAAACAGAGGATCAGGTAGAGAACAGCAAACCAGCGATACTTGGCTGTCCGCGCGCCAAGTGCTCTGGCCATCTGGATGGGGAGGCGGGTGCACGGCAGGGGGTACCACAGCAAGATTCCAGAGATGTTGAAGAAGAAATGGCAGAGGGCAATCTGAGGAAGGAAGCCCAAAACTTAGCAGCCATCTTGGAGGCAATACTGGGAAGTGGCGACATACCCGGAGGAAGCGGCTGTGTGTTTAAAAGGAAATGGTTCTCCCGCTCCCCTTGGTTCACTGTGATGGCCCTCCACTGTAGCCTCTCCCTCTTGTAATACAACAAGCTGGGTGGTATACAATGAAATTTTTAGCACTGTTTCAACTTACATTTCACATTTCTTTTAGACAGATCTTTCACCTGCCAGTCTTACTTTCATACAGGAACATAGCTTCAGCTATGGGGCAGTATCAAAATACAACAACAACAATCGCAACAGCTTCAGCTCACCAGGTGGGGAGAGGGCAGCTGCTCACCTGGAAAGCACTGGCCAGTTTATCTCCCGGACTGGCCAGGGCAGCTAGGATGGCTGTGGTGGTTGTTCCTATGTTGGAACCAAGGGTGAGTGGATAAGCTCGTTCCAGGCTAATCACGCCAAGGCCTGTCCCACAGAGAAAAAGTGGCAATAGTCAGGCAAGCGGCACCATGTGTCCTCACCATATACTCCCAAGACACATGAGATGGGGAGCGTTTCTTCTCCAATCCCTTTCAGAGCCTCTTGAGACACTTCTTAGTCGTGACCTCTCTGTCTCAGGGATTCCAGGATAGCTTATGCTTCACCACACCACCTAAGCTTTGACTACATAACCAAAGGTTAGTCGTGCTGTGATCTTTTGTTCCAAAGGCTTGACTTTTTATAGATCCTGGGTTAGCTGCACCCAAGACCTACTATCTCCTCTCAGGTTGAATGAGGGATGTGGGCCAGAGCAAGAGGCATTGCTTGCTTTGCTTTTCTCAAAAGACTGGGCCAGGTCATTTCAGTTTCTTTTTGTAGACAGACACCTCCTGCTTTGACCTTGTCCCTGGGTAGCTGGGTTCCCATGGAAGTGAAGTCCTTGTTGACTTACCAATGAGTGGGGTGATGGCTGAAGTGAAGACCGAGCTGCTCTGCACGATGAAGGTCATCCCAGCACCAACCAGCATGGCAAAGTAACCAGTGACCCAGCCAAAAGGGGACGGGAGATCTGCCCAAACCAGTGCCAGTGTCAGAAAGAACAAGGAGACAAGGCTGATTCCCATGCATGGATTCTCCCAGAACTAATGAGGCAAACCATCATGCAGGTGTGGAATCCAGAGAAGTCCTACTAGAACAGGGCTCCTCAAACTTTTTCGACAGGGTGCCAGTTGAAAGGCAGCAGCGGCAGGTGCAGGCTGGCGAGACGGGGGTACTGCAGGCGTGGGCTGGTGAGGCGGCAGTGGAGGCGGTGCAGGTGTGCGCATGCACACAGTGAGGCAGCAGCTTGCTCACTCAGAGATCTCTGAGCGAGTCCAAAACAATCTCTGAGTGAGCAAGCTGCCACAGGTGGCGGGTGCGGGGAGTCCAAAACCTCTGAGGCAGGCCAGATAAATGGGCCTGGCAGGCCGGATGTGGCCTGCAGGCCATAGTTTGAGGACCCATGTACTAGAACAGGGGTCTCAAACTCGCGGCCCACGGGCCAATTGCCGGGATGGGCGGGGCATGGGGGAGGGGCCCTGCGGCCTTCAAAGCGCCAGCAGCCCCCCAGGCCGGCCGCGGGATGAGCGGCCCACCACCACCGCGGTGGTGGAATACTTGATGCGGCCCAGCCTCACCCAGACTGCCCCCAGGTAAGTTGAGTTTGAGACCCCTGTACTAGAAGGATCTCTTTGGCCCAGGAAAATGGCAGGAATGCTCTCCGGCTCTGGTTTCTATCCACTCACCGGTGTTGATGACCTTCTGGATAGCTCTGGCCACCTGGCCTTTGAGCACAGAGTTGAGCAGCTTGACCAACATGATGAGGCAGGTGCAGAGCACGATCAGCGAGCCTGCGAGCAGCATGAGGCCCACAGCCAAGTCTGGCAGGGAGGAGTCCACAAATAGGTGATTGCCTGGATGCAAAGGCAGGAGTCAAGGCCAAGGGAAGGTAGCAGGCTGCCCCCTTGCCCCGTTCCTCTCCCTTTCCTGCCCTGAGTTTTGAATCTCCCATGTTACCCTCACAGGACAGGGCTGGCCCACTGGTAGCGGCTGGTTCTTACGGGGCCCTGCTCTCTGAAGGCTGGTGGCAGGTCTTACATTTCTGCTGCATGGCACCGCTGAGATTCCCGGAGCTTTCCAGGCGGCATGGTGCAAGGGAGCTGCAGTTCAGGAGACTCCTCCTAGCTCCTGTGGAAGAAATCTAGAGAGGGGGGCATCAGAGGTATGCAGCCACCTGCAGGAGCCTTGAGGCCATGCATGAGGGGTCCATCACCCCTGCTGAAGCAAGGCCGTCTCACTGTTATCATTAATTCTGACTTTAGCCAGGTTAGTCCTTCCATTTCGTAAGTGATTACTTTGTTAATTCAGTCATATTTCTCGCAGGCAAAGCAAGGCCCACGTAAAAATTCAACGCCAAGTATTCTTCCTTTTTATGGTTTCCCATCTTAGTACTCTCTATTTCAAAGGCCGTCCAGGAAGATGCTGATCCTTTTAAAATGCCTCCTTCCTTTCTCGAAGTGATCCTTAAATATCACTTGCACTGCAATCCTATACTCATTCATGTGGTGGTGAATCCCATTGTACTCAGTGGCTCTTGCTTCTCAGTAGACATGCATAGGTTGCACCTTTATTGGTTCATGGGCTCTAAGAGACTACTCCTTCCAAGAAAAATGTCTAATACACAGTTTAATTTTTGGCCTTGCTGTTCTAATTTCAAGGCTTAATTTCACTTTGAGGATAAAGATGTTAAACCTTTCACATGGGCTGTTCAAGGCTCAAAGTAACACGTTACCTTTGAAATGGCCATGGTGACTCCTGAAAAATATATTATATGATGGTCTCAGGATCCTGGGGATAATATTCATATGTGTGTTTGCAAAATGTGTGGTTCAAAGGACACATTTTCCCTTAATTTGAATATTGGAAACAACAGTTTTAAGATGATTTCAAAGTGGTATATCACTCGCTATTATAAAAATATGTATAACCTGATTTGCTGGAATGTTAAAGAAAGAGTAGTGATTCCTTTAATATGTGATGGATTTTGCTTTCTAGCACAACATTTCTGGGTAAAATAAAAATTTCATTAGAGGGCATTTTGAGCTATCTGATTTGTTTAGATTCACTATTGTTTTGTTGCCTATATGAATTAATTCATTTTAGATGGAGAAGTAGCTATTTGCTACTGGCAGAGCCTTATATAAAAAATATTGGAGGCCATATATAATCACTCATATCAGAAGAATGGCTTGCAAAACTGGGTGCCTGCCAGCGGGGGGCCAAATGAAGGACCCCTGAACATCCTAACCTATGACACATGTGGTCATCTCTAACTCAGCAACTCTGAAAAACCAAATGTACACTGGGCTCTCTGTGAAAACTTGTCTTTCTGGCTCTCCATACACAAGAAAATTGCTCACGCTCCAGTATCCAAAATGCCAAAATAAAGACATCCCATGCATCCATTATTGGCCCATGCAGTTTGGTGTTGAGCCATTGGCTCAAAATCCTTAGCCAGGACTACCAGCACATCCTGACACTCAGCACTCAGTACTGTTTCTTTCCTCCCTCAGCCAAGCTCTCTGCCCTGGTAGAAGCCTCACCTGTGGAGCTGGTGCATCACACCACAGCCGGATCAGACTCTTGTTGTGCAAACTCTCATCACCCGTGGCAATGCCAGTGATCACAGACTTATCCAGCTACAAGAAACAAGGGAACTGGTCATGGAAACCCTGCCAGGGATGGGAGATAGGAACCCTAAAGGCCTTCATAACGGGAGGTGGGTGAGAAGTAGCAGACCCTTAGCCCTAGGATGGCAGGGAATTCATATCCTTTAGACAGGCAAACCAGAAATTTAGATATGGTCTCAAAGCTGAACGGTAAGGCTGGATTCCAAAAGCCCTGCCATAGTTCCTGTTCGCATCCCAATCTCTCACACAGTGACTTGGTTCAGGCATCACAGCAACCCACACTACAGGGCTGAGAAGAGGTTGCTGTTGGATTATTGGTTATTGTTGAAAAATAGGTCCTCATGTTGTCTGAATGCAACTGAGATAGCAAACCATAGCTTTTAATTAGAACAACCCATGGTGTTTTGTTGGGTTGTGAAAGTTGTGGTATGTTAGCTTGGCTGGGTTCAGACAGCATGATAACCCATCTTTCAACAAGCCAGTTTCATAACAGCCCAAACTTAACCCTTGACTGTGGGTTATGCCTGAACTTAGCAGCACTTCTCCCATTATATGTGACTGCTAGTAACTCTAAGCACTTATACTGCTATTGCAGAATATTCTAGGTCAGGAGAGCAGGAAAAACCTGGCCTTCCTGAGTTCACTAAATGGCCACATCCCCATTCCAGACCCATATTCTAGGCACTGTCTGTCTTCTACCCTGGCCTTCTGATCACCTGGCAGCATTTTGTAAACCTTTCTGGGTCCTCAGCTCAGCCCGTGGCTTTCCCTTAGTGACCTAAAGACCCACAGTCCTTGCCTTCTAAATCCCTTTGTTTTTTTTCACAACATCCTAGATACTAACTTTTCACCAGCTGCCATTAATTGGCCTTATTCCCAAATCTACTGAAGGAATGGACTCCGTTGAGCCCAACAAGTGAAATGCCTTCTGATGTAGACAGTAGCTTGGCTTCTGACGCCCCCCAAGAATGGACTGGAAGGTGGAATGGACAGGCAAACATACTGCCAGGATGCCAAGCATGGGGAGGCAAGTGCTTAGATTTCCCACCCCCAGAAAGACTAAAGAGGCCACACTTGGTTACCCGGGAGCACACACCTGGATGATAAGACCAGTGAAGGGCTCTGTGATTACTTTCAGGAGCTCTGGCGCATCCTGTCCACTGCGGAAGTTGAGGGTCGCCACCGCAATCTTGGTGATGCGATGCAGATAGCCAGTGGCCACCTCCAGAGGCAGCAGAACCAGCACTGACAACCAGTTGAAGCAGTCATGTACGGTGGCCCCTGCAAAGGCCCTGCCAGAAGGTAGGGAGACCATTGTTGGCATGGCGTTTGTGAGTTGCAGTGTCAGAGGGTGTGGGGTGGGTCCTAGCCAGGCAGCCATCCAAATATCAGCTCTTCCACCAGCTCGCACACAATTTCCGCTTGCATTGCCCACCACAACACACACCTCTTGAACTCGTTTCTGTCTCCGGCCTGCATAAGCGCCACGATGGTGTTGGTGACAGAGGTGCCGATGTTGGAGCCCATGATGATGGGGATGGCAGCGCCCACCTCCAGCACTGAAAAGAGGAGGGAGGCCTGCTGAGCACGCTGGCTCTGGCAGAGCTTGTGGTGCCCAGTGAGGAGCCTGGCAAAGCTTACTCTGGGTGCCCCCACCTCTGCTGTCTTATCCTTTCCCTCCAAAGCCTACATACATCCCTTGCAGGTGTGCAGATTTCCACAGGCGGGTCTTTGCAGGTAGGTCCAGTTCTATTTTATTATCATGCAGGGGATGCAAATGCTGCAAGAGAGAAGGGGACCCATGTGCCAAGGCCCAGGCCAGTGGGCTGCTTAGCCCAGCATGGTTTACAGTGAATTGGGCAGTGTCTCTCCGGGGTTTGGGCAGGAGTCTCCCCTAGCCCTGGCTGGAGGTGCCAAGGACTGATGCGGGGACTTTCGACTTTTGGTGTGCAAAGCAGGCACCCTGTCAAGGGAGCTATGGCCCTCCCATTCAAGTATCCTGCAGTGGCAGTAAACTGCAGCAGCCCGACTGGGGGAAAAGGGGGAGTGCGTGTTGCCGGATTTCTCATGCATCTATGTGCAGCCAGAGCGCCACATCCCATCCCACAGGGCTCCCCGCTCCCCATGCACACACACACATTCTGTGCACAAAAGCCAACTGGGCAGGCGGCTGAATCTGTTTTCCAGGCAGAAGACAGGACGCCATCTTGCCCCGCACCTGAGAACAAGAGCCCTGCTTCATGGAGACCGGGCAAGAGCAGAGGCCTCTTCTCTCCCAGCATTTGGCGCCAGAAGCAACGACTGCCCTCTGGCCAAATGGTAGGACTGGCCCTGCCATCCTGTTTCTTCAGCCCCTCTTTCCACACACGTTACTCACACCCTGAGGATACCATGCTGACAATGATGGAGGTGGAGGTGCTGGAGCTCTGAACCAGGACGGTGACAAGGATTCCCACCATGAGCCCTGCCACTGGGTTCGAGAGGATGGCGTTGTCCTTGAAAATGTCCCCTGCTACTTTTCCTGGAAAAGATGCAGAATTTAGCGAACCAGGTCTGCACACAAAGCATCTGGGGAGGTCCTGGTGGATTCAGGCTTGTTTACAAAATAGGTTTGGGGGCTCAGCAGTTGAGGACGTAATTTCCTTGCCTCTCCTGTTCAAAGGTTCATGGAGCAAGACTGGTGAGTTGCTGCCGATCCAGGGGCAGGAAGGAGAAAGACCAGAGTCTTCTGGTAGATGTTCAAGGTGATTTGCAGTAGACCTGAAAGGGTTTCTGACTCCAAAAATGTTTAACAATGGCAAGAACAAAAAGCATCTTACCCACCCCCTCTTCTCTATATTTGACCGCTTAAATTGTGAAAGTTTGGATGGGGGGAGTCAGGAATGGTTTTATGGGGGAGAGGGTGGCAAACTAATTTTGATACTGAAGCATCGCCTTGGTCTGAGCCCTGTGTTCAGAGCACTCTGATCCTTAATTCTAGAAGGCACATGCCTGCCTTGAACTGCTATTTTGCACCTGAGCCCAGTTGGTGGATCTTGAGTCTACAGAAAAACAGAACAGGACAAAGCAGATCCTGGACGCCTGAAGGCAGCCCCCTCCCCCCACAGAATCAAGGCTAGCCCCAGAGTCAAGCGAATCCCAGTGAAATCTTCCTTCACCACTTAGCGCCCTCCACTGCAGAGGACCGTGACTAATCTAGCTTCTTGGCTGCATGTGCCCTCAGTCTCTGCTCCTGCTCTCGGGCTGGATAATCGATGGAAAATTCTGCCCTGCAACTGTGAGGAGTTCTCTCTAGTTTGGTCCCCCTTCCTCCCTCCCTCCCTCCCCTCCCACCACCAGCCCCACTTCACTGGTCTGCTGGCTCCTAGTGTAGTCCCCATCCATTCTTCCCAGCTTCAACCTCCTGCAGCTTCTCATAGCCATTTTTATGTTGTACATGCAAGACCATGAAGGAAGAAAGGGAGGATTAGAGAAATTCATGGAGGATTAAGCTGTGTATGGCTGCTTGTCAGGACGGCTTTAGGCAGCTTCAGCCATCAGAGGCACCATGTCCTTGTTCCCCAGTTGCTCCAATCATGAGGGGCTTCCTGGAGAAATCTGGCCGGCCGCTGGGAGAACAGAGTGCGGGATTACCTGGGCCTCTGGTCTGATCTAGCAGGGCTTTTTTTACACCCCTCAGGAGTAGTTGCACACACATACTCAAATTATATCACTTAACTTTCTTTCCCTTCAGGCTATGCTGCAAGGTTATTTATGCTGAAAGTGTCCAAAGCAGGAAACTCTGCCATTTTCTTTTGTTTCATTAAGAATTTGTGAAGTTGAAACTTGACATTTGGCACCAAGTCATGGCAAATTTAGAGGACACACCAGTCAGGAAGCTAGAAAAGAGCTTGCTTCTCTCTGTGTGTAACAAGGGGACAACAGGCACAAGAATCTCCTGACTCCAGGAAGATACAGCCAAGGACCACCCCAGTTACAGAGAAGGGAGGGAGGACAGAAAAATATATCAAGACTCTCACCTCCTGCCAGTTGGAAAGCAGAACTCAGCACATCGAGGGAGCACACGAACAGGTACAAAAAAACAAACATCAGGGGCACCTTGAGAAGAGAGATGAGGATGGATTTTGTCCTTGCACATCTGCCAAATGCTGCAAGGGAACAACAGGCATTAAGCCCCACCTTGTATGGCCAGGTCCTGCCTGTTGCCTCCCACACCTCACCTTCTGCTCTGCTCCCCACAGTGAGCTTTCCACCAAATCTCTGGCTGTAGGGAATGCTTGTGCTCCCACGAAGCCCGGGAAGGAGCTGCCCCCATGTCAGAAATATAATTTACAGTGTCAAAGAGGAAACACAATAGAGGAAGTTAAAAGCAAAGGCATACAGTGATCACTGGGTCAGCTTGTGCTCCAGTATAGGAAGAGACACTTTGCCGTAGAAGAGGGGTAGGTGAGAGGCGTCCTTCCATCATACTGGCATTTCAGTTCTTGAAACAAACTCAATACATTTCAACTCCAGCTTGCGTTGCTTAGAAACAGGAAAGACCCTGCCAATAATCTTTCTATAAATGCCTAGTGCTTCACAGCAGGGAAATGGGCACAAGTGGGACCAGCCAGCCTTTGGCACCCCTGCAGTCAGCGTGGGCAGGGGATAATAAAGAGAAAAATCGCATTCTGACACGATGCAGGCACCTTCTTTCTGGCCAAAGGGCACAGCAAGAAAGGGGCTGGAGAGCTTGGAGCCTCTTTGCACAATTCTGTGCCTCAGCAGCTTCCCTTAAGGGAGACTTCCCTGTGGGAAGTGTCTCTCTCAATATTTATCTGCTGGAAACAGAATGTGTGTGGTTGTTGCTGTTATACAGAATTGATGTTTTCTTTTGAACAAGCAGGGAATCATTACTGATTCATGCCAAACGTGCATCTTGGGCCTTTTCACACACAACACAATAGGCACTTGGATGGTTTTTCTACTGTTTCAAAAGCTTACGTCCTCTATTTGTTTTGGATTTGATGGGAATGTTAGAATGTTTGCTGGGCCAGATTTAAGGGTGACAGTGGAATCCTCTTCATCCCTGGAGGACTGATCTGGCAGCAACTGGTTATTATTCCCCCCCCCCCCCGCAATATCCCTGTTATGGGGCCCAATTCAATGCCTGTTTACTCAGGAGTGTCTCAGTAAATTCAAGGAGAACCACTCCCAAGTGTGTTGCCTTATAATAAGAAAGAGTCACCATTAAAATGTTGCATAAACTGAGTTATAAAGCAGGTCAGCATGACCCACAGATCCACAAACCTTTCCCAAAACTTCCTTTGCATTAGCAATTGGCACAACAGTCATACCAGCTGAGGAGAAGAAAAATTCCCAGCTAGATTCCAAATTTAATGCATGTGTAACAGCCATACATGACATTTCCTCCCTCATGTTAGCATCAGGGACACTTCTACCTTTATTTTTGTTCTTGAGCAAATACAGATTATCCTTACTTATCTTGACACCAGAGGACAAATCTTTCACCAAGAAGTGTCTATATTTATGATCATGTATTAATTTCAAAGATCTCTTTGCCAAATTTTTGTTCACTTTCATCTTCCCAAGCAGCTCATGAAAAAACACATAATACATCAAAAACAATAAAGCCACTGTCCAAAACTCAAAATATTACAACATTATGGCCCTAGTGGTTTAATACAAGACAGACGATATATTACAAAGCAGTCTGAAATAACTGTTGAGATCCATGTAGAGTAGGGGTACCACATATCTCCCTAGGGACGGGATTCCACAAATGTGGGGCTACTACTGAAAAGGCCCCATCTCTTGTATCCCTCAGTGGTGAGTCCATGAACACAGTCAATGAGTGCACTTGATCTCAAGGCCTCGACACGTCCATATAGGCAGTTCCTCAAACATCCTGGCTGCAAACCACTTAGTGCTGTTCAGGTCACAGCCAGTGCTTTAAATGGGGCATAGAAGCAGGTAACCAATGCAGCTGGTTCACTACTGATGGCACATGCTCCAACCGCTTGGCCTCCAGAAGGCTCTGAGCAATTGCACTGCATTCTCTCCTGGGTTCTGAAGTTTCTTTAAACAAAGCACTACAAAGAGAACATTACAAGAGACTTCTGGAAGTTACTTGGATGTGTATGACTCTGGATGGGGTTGAATTTGATGGGCCAGTCCTCTGTACCTCCGTAGCCTGCAAAATGCCTGGGAGAACACCCAAACTGCAAACCTGGTCTTTGGGGGTGGGAGGTGGGTGCAATCCCATTCAGAACCATTGCATCCTTTGTCCAGCTCAAGAGAATTCCTTGACTTGCCTTTATTATGTTTCAGCTGGTTGGCCCTCATCCATCTCAAGACTAACCTGTGGCTTCCCTGGGGCTAGCGGCTGGAAATAAGAGGCACCTATCCTCATTGTACCAATGACTCTTCAGCACTCCTTCCAACAGAGGAGCCTTCCCCAGGCTGGTGGTTTCCAGACATGCTGGACTACGACTCCCTTGATTGACAGCATTTTAGCAATAGGGGAATTGTAGCATAACATCTGGTGGTGGGGTTGTCTCTCCTAGAAGAAAAGCTGATGCCTTAGATAAAACACTGAGCTGTGCTAGCTTCTAGAATAACACTCCAAACCAGCCATTTCATTTGGACCTGCCAGAAAAGGAACTGTGCACAACAACATATACTTTCTTGTTGTTGAGTGCTGTCAAGTCATCTCCAACCTATGGCAACCCTATGCATTGTCCTCCAAATTGTCCTGTCCTTCACAGTCCTATTCAACTCTTATAAACTCAAAGCTATGGCTTCCTTTATATAACTGAGCCACCTCACAGTTGTTCTCCCTCTTCCTCAGCATTCGTGTCTTCTTCAATGAGACCTGCTTCTCATGATGTGCACAAAGTACGACAACTTTGAGTTTTATCATTTTTACATCCAGGACAAGTTCTGGCTTGATTTGCTTTCAGACCTATTTGTTCATTTTTCTGTTGGTCAAGTTTCAATATTCACAAAGCTTTCTTCCAGCACCATGTTTTCTTTTTATCAGCTTTCCTCCCTGTCCAGCTTTCACACCCGTACATGGTGAGTGGGAACGCAGTGGTGTGGATTGTCTTGGCCTTAATGTCCCGTGAAATCTCCCTACACCTAATGATCTTTTCTAGTTCCTTCACTGGTCCCCTTCCAAGTCTCGGCCTTCCTTGAATTTCTTGGCTGCAGCCTCCATTTGAGTTGATGGTTGCGCCAAGGTTTGCAAAATCTTCCATGACTTCAGCCTCTTCACTGTTGACCTTAACGTGCTGAAATTCTTCTGTAGTCATGATTTCTGTTTTCCTCCTGTTCAGCTGCTATCCCGCTTTTGCACTTTCTTCTTTCAGGAGTCATTTCAGTTTATTGCTGCTTTCTGCCAGTAACATGGGATATCTTAAATTATTGATGCATCTTCTGCCAATTTTCAGGAGGCTCCCGGCTGATACTGAGCTGCATCGTGTGCGCACGTGTCCACCGCTTCAGCCTCCCCGGCAGCACTCACTTGGCTGTTGCCCAAGACTGGCTCTCACCCTGCCCAAGCTCCAGGGCTAGAATGGAGGGAGGTTGCAGCACCCTCCTCCTAGCTCTTCCGCCTGCTTGCTGCTGCCTTGGGCGAGCCCTCTTGGGCTGCCTCCTGCAAGCCTTTAGATGCCTCCTGGCAGGTACAGCAGGAAGCTCCGCCTCCCCTCGAGAGGCATCCGAGCCCTTCTTGTTGGACAGATACATCGCAGTCACCTGGCAATGTGCCCGGCTTCCCCACCAGTTGCTCTCACCATGTGTCAGTGTTGCTGAGGCCAATGGCTGCACCGGTTCCGCTGTTGCACTGAGCAGAGCCCTCTGCGCCCTCCTCACAGAGCTTGTGGCTGCAGTGGAGTCCCAGACATGTAGCTGCACCCCCGACTGCCTTGATTCTCCTGCTCCGTGGCCCCAGCTTTATGTCTGAAGTGTGCCCTTCTTTCGGGAGGGAAACCCCCTCCTGATACTGTGCATGTGCAGTACGCACTGGCCCACTCCCATTGTAGCCTTGGATGAAGGGGCCACTGGCTGTGGGCCAATGCGTTACTGCTGCCAGGATTGCCAAATGAGCAGGGAAAAAACTGGCCAGGTCTGCTCCTGCCATGTTAACAGCGGCCCGATGTGAAGATGACGGTTTCATAGCATGGGGTGAGTGCCACCTTTGCAGACCAAGATGAAGGCGTGGGGCAGGGCCTGGTAAAAGCTGGCCAGTTGCAACCCTGTAGGGAGCAGGACTTGACCGGCCGCAACTTTCCTGGTACCAGGCGGTGGTTTCACAACTGATAAGCTACTCCCACAAGAGTCAGAAATCTGAGATGTGGGTACACGTGTCATTGAAGATGCCACCTGTTGACTCGGGAAGTCCTCAAACAAGACTTCATGTCTTTATTTGGTTGAAACTCCATCTGTCAAGTGCGCTTGCACGCAAAAGCTCTTTGGGGTCATCAAAACATCACTCTTTTGCAATTTGCTCAGCATTGAATTAAAATGGAGGTGCCCTGCAAGCACTTCATACCAGGTATTATTCCACAAAGCCCTTTCTTAAGGCCAAGCTCCTCTTATGTTTACTAAATCCTATTTAGCAAAGATTCTCACCACCATAAAGTTTTCTCTGCATAAATTCGTCTTATCTTATTACTTTAGTGGCATGGATTAGGGAGGAACAACTTGTTGGTTCCCCCTTGAAGGGCTTCTCCTGATTGTCACAATGACAGTTTCTGCATAGCTGAGAGGCTTTAATAACTGAGTTCTTGTTACAGTTTCTTGCTATGTTTTAGAGAAGATTATCTTCCACTAAAAAATGAAATGTAAAAGAGGAAATCATTAATTTAAGCCTCATGCCTCCTCAGGAAGGGAAACTGGTACTGGAACATTGAAGTTATTCAATTATTCCCAGGTAATTATTCATTAGCCGCTAGCTTCATCTTGCTCATCAAGAAGCAACCAAATGGGCTGAACCTGCAAAGAGGAACAGTAGATAAAAGGCAACCCAGATGGTGGGGGGGGGGCACTGGGGGTGAGGGGTGCCTTACCCAAGCACCTTCCAAAATCTGGAGCTGGCACTGCGCACACCACCAGTTTCCCACACCAGGAATTCCCAGATGGGGAGTCCCAGCCCCTGATGGGAAAAATGCTCGGCTTGAAGCAGCGCCGGTTGCCTCTGCCTTCCTGGTGCCAAGGTAAACTTCAGGCCCTAGAGCAGGGAAAGGAAGGGGGCACTGGGTCAATGTAAACAGGGCCCTGCTCGCCTCCATTCCACTCAGGCGTTTGCCTTTTGCCAGCACCCTCTCCTGAATGCACGCAGCACCCTTTCTCCCCCCCCCCCCCCGGGCGTCTTTGCAAGAGAAGCTGAGGAATGAGCCCGGTCTGCAGGCCGCTTCTTAGCCCTGCATCTGTGCAGCTAAAAGAATGCCCTTAACCGCTTGTTGTGAAGGAGTCATTAAAAGCACTTAACTGACAAAACTGCAAGACTTTGGTGCAGGAAAGCCCTGCTGGCATGTGTCGGCAGGAGCGCTCTTCTCCTGCTGGGTCGGCACAGTGGGAAAGGGCCCGCCTTTCAAAACGCTTGTTAAAATCGGAACGGCAGAGGCATGGGGCAGGTGGGGGAGCACAATGCTTCCCTTACCTGGTTTCTGTGCTTCATCAAAGCCTGAATGCAGGTTCTGCCAGGGTTTGGAAGAGTGGGTGTCCAACTCATACTTCTCTGTGCTTTCAGCCCGCCTCCCAGGGGGCCCTGCACAGAGGTAGTCATAGTCCGGGTGACTCACAGTGGGGAACAGGTAAGCTCTAGGGTCAGGGATCCCCTGCAGAGCTACAGAGAAAGAGTCGCTGGTTAGTCACCCAGGCCCCTGAATCGCAGGAGGTAGAACAAAAGACCTCAGAGATAATCTTCAACTCTAATCCCAGAATGAGGCCCCAGTAGAAAGAAGAACCATCCCATGAGAGGCCCATGTCCCCAAAAGCAGACCCTCTCCAAGCGCACCAACTTAGGAGGAAATGCAAGACAGCTCTTTCCAGGAAAATGCAATGTCCGAAGAAGCAAGCTATTCTCAGCACCCTGTTGACCCCTCCCTGTGCTCGGGTGACTGCTGTGGGCTGGCGTCTGCCCAGGCTTCCACCTGGAGCCCTTCTGCTTTAGCAATGTGCAGGAACAGACCAAAGAGGTGCAACAGGTAATGGGAGCGCCCTTCAGGCATGCATTAGAACCTCCAGAGCAAAAGACTCCCAGTAGCCACCCTTCAGGGGAATAAACCAATGAGACCTAGTTGCCCAGGAAATAAAGAGTGAGAGGGAAGATACAAAGAAGGTAGAATGAAGAAGAGAAGAGGCAGGCCATCAAGCGTGCAGGCAGGTGCAATGCTCAGTTGCAGAAGCAGACTCCTGTGCAAAGTATATAAGGTCTGAGCAGACCAAAGGCCTGGCCCGGCCCGGCATTTCGGTCCCGCAATACCTTGGGGGCTGGGGCAGAAGGAATAAGGCGGTGCTCTTCCTCCCACTCTTCCCACAGGTCTTCCTCCTACTCCCACAGGTCGACGGCATTGCACTGGGCTCTCTCTGCCATAGGGTAGCATCGCTGCCTGCCAAGCTGAACAAACACAGGTCAGTCGCAGGGGGCTGGCACTGCTCTTTATTGGATTGATGGATGATCGATCGATTGATTTGTACCCTGTCTTTTCAGCAAGGAAATAGTGTATAAGGCAGCAAACAATCACAAGGTCAATAAATAAATAAGCAAGCAAGCAACTTGGTTAAATAATGATAATAAAAGAAATAGATTTTAAAATGCAGCAATAACCATAAAAACAGCAGATCTTACTACGGCTTACAGATCAAAGGCCTGCTTGATTAAAAAACACCTTTGCCTGCTGAGAGGGAGCCAACCTTCCCTGCCACCCAGCAGGGAGTTCCTGAGCCTGGATTAACCTCCAGGCTACGAGTGCTCACTGCTTGACCTACATAGAGCAAAGCCGCCTTTGTGGGGCTTCCTTTGGAAGTGGTCTGGAAACTTCAGCTGGTCCAAAACAGGGCAGTGGCAGTATTAATGGGGACCAGCCCATGTGATCATGTGATGCCAGTACTTTACCAGCTGTACCAGCCCATGTCTGCGCCCAATTCAAATTGCTGGTATGAACTTTCAGAGCCAGAGATTACCTGACTGAACATCTCCTTCCATATATACAACTGCCAAGACCCTAAGTGCATCCTCAGCCATCGTTCCCTGGGAACACCTGCCTAAGAAACGATGGGGTGGCTGCTAAGAAGAGGGTCTCTTGTGCTGGGATGCCTGGTTGTGGAGTGAATATCTCAGGCTCACAGCGCCCTTTCTGGTGCCAAGAGAAGGCTTCCTATTTTCCCAGGCATTTTACTCTTTCAGTTCCCCTTGTTTCAAATCTGCTACTGCATTTTAAATATTAGTGTTGCTGCTTGGTTTTACTTTGATTTGGACTTATATTTTATAGAGCAGTTTTAAACATTTATTTATTTATTTATTTATTTATTTATTTATTTATTTGAAATAGTTATATTCCATCCTTAATCCATACAGGATCCGTATTACATCTTCACAGTATATATATTGTTGTATGTTATGGTTTTAATTGTTGTGAACCACCCAGAGAACATAGAAATGTAATACATACATAAATAATAAAATAAGGATCTCTAGATCTGACTCAGGGATTCCCCACCCAAAACTCACCAATTACTGTGGAAGTCAGTTCCACAGTGATTCCATGTAAGTCAGTTCCATGGCTAGCACCATATTGCTTTGATGGCTATACCAGCATAGCAGGGGGACTTGCCACCTGAGTGCTTAAGAAAGAAACCAAAGACACTTCTGGCATCTGACTGCACAAAAGTTCAAATAGATTAAACCTGCACAGGTATGACTGGCGAATTGCCTAACATTGTGCTGGGCATCCTTTATCTTATGAGATATTCTGGTCTTCAGTTTATCTGAAAGCCAAGAGCCTGTCTCAGGATGGCCTGGAGTCAGCTGCCAAAGCCAGTCCTGCCAAGGTTACCCATCTGGATGGCCTTTTCTTCCTTCCAGGCCCCCGATGTGGTTCTCTAGTGCTAGCTTAAGCTCTTGTCCCCTTACCTGATGCAGATGAACCACTCAGACCAACATCTCAAGGCTGCCCGCTATGTCTACACTCCGCTCTCAGGCAAACTGGCTGGAGACAAGAAGTGTGTCCTTTATACACAGGACAGGAGCAAAGTCTAAAGAGTCTTGTGCTGCCTCTTGTCTCCATTTGATGCTCCCCTCCTCCCAGGCATTCCTTCAGTTAATTGCTAACTTCTGCAACACCCTGAGCTGTGCAATAAGATGAGCTGTGCCTTGTTGGCAAGACAGTGATGCAACAGTGTCTGGTCTACCCAGATCCTGGTCCCCAAGGAGGCCATCGCATCGCTGCGCCACATGATCCACGGATAGGAAACATCTCACTTCGGGTTGACGGCTGGGGTCAGGACCCCGTCAAAACATTTCGAAGGAGATAAAGGGACTTCAAAGAGATGTTACTGTAAGCAGGCATAAGAGTTGATTTAACATGCAGGGGTATATGCTTTTGGACGGGTTGTCTGACACAGAAGGAAACAAAGAGATGCTGACTCAGGACTGTGCATGCAGGAGCTGTGCAGAAGACATTGGAAGCAACCTTCACACATGGGCTAGGATCTTTCGATCAGCTGTCCCCAAACTTTTTTGGGCAGCTGCCCCTCTTTCCTCTTGGGAGACAACCCTAGTGGCCTCATGCCTCTTTCTTTATATTAGATCTATTGCACTGTTGACTGCTGGATCTTTCCACCATCCACAGGGGGGCAGCACTGCCCACTTTGGGAATTGCTGCTTTATAGCAAAAAACTCATAATACCCATTCTTAAGAAGAAATAAATCTACCACAACGTATTGTCCTTGACTCCCACCGAAAGCATCCTTAATAGATGGGTGCCAAGGTGCATCTTGAATGCCTCCAGGGTGGGAGAGCCCATGACCCCTCTCAGTAGTTGATTCCATTGTTGTATTCGCTAACAATCAGAAAGTTTCTCCTGATATTCAGCCAGAATCTGGCTTCCTATAAATTGAACCCATTATTCCATATCCTGCACTATGGGATGATTGAGATCTATTTCTGTTGTGGATGGAAATTTCCATTACTGGCTCGATTTGTCATTAGGTAACCCTTTATGAAGTCATAGAATCAGGGCATAGGCGAGTTGGAAGAGCCCTTGAAAGCGGTTGGTTCCAACCTCCTACTCAGTACAGGGGTCAATGCCATACTAACAAACCACAAGGATAGCTGTGCTGATCCATCGGGAAGAGGGAATCCAAAAGCCACAGTTGGGCAATACCTTTATTAGGACCAACCCAAATGCCACAAAGATGCAAATGCTTTACATTCTCCAGAGTTCTTCATCAGGTGAGAAAGCACAAAGAGCAGGGGATGGGGGAATCAAAAGCGAGTCTACACATTTGGTCAGATGCATTGGCCATGAGGCGGCAATTTAGAGACAGTCTCAAAAGGGAAACTTGCAGTTTGAATGAGTGAGCCAGTATTGGGAGTCTCACATTGTACCTAGCAGTGACTTTGGGGGATGAGAAGCACAGGCTGGTCTCCATGTATGAAAACACAAAGGGGAGATGTAACTCTATTCTGCCTTTTGTCCAAGCCAAAGCCTATCCAACAAATGAGTAATAAAATGGTGAGGATTTGGTATCTCTGATTCTGAGTATTGGGTAAAACAATACAAATCAAGCACATCAAGTACCCAGTTACTTTATAGGTCTACTTTATGTTATCTGTTGTGTTAGCTTTTAAAAACGTTTTAAACAGTTGTGCATTTTGGAAAATAATTATGGTGTTTTATTGTATTTTCCAAATTGTATTGCCTTTTCAATGCAAAAATTGAAAGATAAATTTAAAACAGCAAAAGCCACTGCTGTTCATAAAATAGATAATACAATAAAACTCCATAAAATATACTCTGTGGCCGTGGGAAGCTAACTTGTAACTACAGCTGCACTGGGTAGTCCTGGACTATGAAAAAATGGTAGGTCAGGGTGCAAGAGGAAGCGTTATAATCAATATAAAACAATATAAACAAGGAAAGGAGGCAGAACATATATACACACATACACACAATGAAAACGAGCTTTATATATTTCATGAAGTATTGCATGCATTATTCATATTATTAACTATTATTTGCCCTATAGCCCAAACTTGCACACATACATGGACACAGGAACTGCCACTAAACTCTCAAGCCACATTTAAGTTCTTCTTGTTTACAAAAGAGCCAAACTGTTGAGGGACAAGGATAGAGGGACTGTGGCATCATATTTATAGTAATCCCTTCCTGTGGCGATGGGGAGAACAAAGCACCACATTCCAGCCTAATCCCGGCTGAGAAACTATTGATGTCATCATTACATGAAGATGACAAGTAACACCTGCCTCTCTGAGGCTCTTGAAAGCTAAACCAATATAGGGAGAGCTATGATGTTATCTTTTGATCTTGGGGCCCACATCAAAATGAGTTTGTGCTGATAGGGATAACACCTGCCCTGTGTACATGAACAACCAGGACAAGGGCTGCAGCATCAATTCCACTTCAGGACCCCATTAGAGGGAGGCTGAGGACAATCCACACGGGAAAGATGGCTGCAATCCATTTGCAGGCCATCCAGCATATGCTATCCGTGAGGCCTTTCAGATATACTTAGGGCATCTTATAAAGCAGTGACGGGGATCCTCTTTTCTGTCAATGGTCATCTTCCCTCCAGAAAAACAAGACTTCTGGGACTCAAAAGACTAACATGTACTTATTACAGTGTAAGCCTTCATGGACTACAGCCTGTTTAATCAGATGTATCAAAAAACAAAATCAGTATTGTGATTTCCAAGTGTATATATATACACACACAATTTGAGAGGGACTGGATTTTAAGCACTAAGATCACAGGAATCTTAACTGCAGAAAGTACATATGGTGATAATGACCTTATTAATAGTGGCCATTCAGGTGAGTGAATTAAGGCCTGTGTTGTGATATACTCAGAAATACACCTTTGCCCTTATTGAAGCCAGAAAATAGACTTTGATCTCTGCTTGAATCCTTGCCCAGCTGTCTTCTGTCTTTGAAGTTCTGAGAAAGGCCACCTCGAGGTGCTCTGGGAAGTGAGAGGGCTCCCACACTGTTTCTTGAATGCTGCATTTCTGATGATCACCTTCATGCTGTAAGCTTGTAAGAAGGGCCTGGCTGGTTGAGGCCAATGTCTTATCTCACCCAGCTTCCTCTTCTCACAACTCCTAGGCAAATACCTGTGGGAAGGCCCCAAGCAGGACATGAGTGTGAACGTGTCCACCCCTTCCTGAGACCCTGCAGCTGGCCAGTAGAGGCAATATTGGCAGCAATGTACAGCCATCAAGGCCAGAATCCCTGTCTGCATAGACTCTTGCAAGGGAACTCTTTGTCCTAGATAGCACGCAGTGGGGCTTTGCTGGCAAACGGTCACTCAGGAAGATGAGCTGCAAGTAGCATGAGCAGCCCCTGCCACAGAGCGGCCAGAACAGACATGAGGCCGGGGTTGGCATCCGGGCTCTGTTTCTGTGACTCGATCTCTGTTCTGTGGTCTCATGGTTGTTGTGGTGAGCTAGGTTGTTGGGCTGTGGTCTGTGCGGAACTGCAGGTCTACCACCCAGGCCTGTGAAACGGAAGTGCCACTGTCCAGGGTAGGCTGTAAATTGCGGACCACTTGGGGGTCATCTGGCGGGGGAAATTTGGCTCCTGGCAGCACATGGAACCAAATCCAGTGGGTGAGGCCAGGGCCCGGAGCATATAAACCCAGCCCACTTTTTCTCTCTTCAACTCCACTCTTTTTTCCCCCTTTCTCCCTCCTTTTCTTTCTTCACCTCTTCTGCCCTGTCCAGCAGGCTGCCAGGAGAGACCAATTTGCTCTTGTCGGAGGCCTGAACTCCTCACTTGCTGAGGGTGGCCTGAAGTTAGGCAGCTGGCTGCAGGCCGTGTACAGTCCCAGGCCCATAGCAGCCTGCCACTGCTAAGCACTCTGCCATTGTTGTGTGAGTGAAACTGTAGCATCGGCCTGCACTGGCTCTGTTGTGTGTCACCCTTGTGGGGCCTGAGGAATGAATGACCAAACAGGAAAGAGAACTTGAGGTTGCGGTGGATAGCTCACTGAAAACATCA